AGATGTTCCCATTTCCACGTAAAATAGCAAAACTGTTACAAATGAATGTCGAAGTGAAGACAACATGACATAAAAAATATAGACGTATGTACCAAAGTCAGTAGAACAAAGCTTCCACTGAAAAAGTGATATTGTAAACTATCAAAGAAAAATTAAGTTAGCTTTTTAGAAACTTATATGGCTCTAGTGTCATCCAATAAACAACTTATTTGTCAAAAAAAGTTCAATAAATGTAAATAACATAATATTACAATAAACTTAAGTGATATCTTGATTGGATCACCGAAAAAAAACAGTTTCCGTAGATCAAAAGGCTTCTATCATAAAAGCGAATTTACTAAATAGAGGTTTACTAATAAATTATATATTTCTCAAAAAACCCTAAAAACATTAAAATTAGTAAAACGAATACGAACGTAATTTTATAATGGGTTTATACAAATATATTTACTATAGACTTAGTTACTTTAGCTTACTGAAAGCCAAACAAACAGTAGCCTGTATATTACTCAAAGTCATTGTCTATCCGTATACGAAATTTTATCCAAATTTGTTCAGCCGTTTCAGCATCAAGATGTAACAAGTATACATACACAAAATTTGGCAAATATTATAGTCAGATTATAATTACACCCTACTTCCTTGTATACTAAAGACATCAGAAAAACAATGTTATTTATATAAAAGAGCGATATTTTCCTTTTATTTTATACGAAATTGTTAACAGTGGATTACCCACATATCCTAGTATTATCTACGCCAAATAAATATAAAGCATTCCGGCTAGTAGTAACAAAATTTAGGCCGTTTTGACCCCTCAGGCAAACCGTTGGGGCTAATCTTTAAACTCCTGAACTGATTTTATTACGCAGAAACCCACAGGCAATACGCTACAGGGTTATTTTTAGACAAAAATAATTATAATTTTCCTCAAAGTTAATTTGAGCGTGAAATTTAATCATCTTTTAATAACGTGTACCTTGTTTAAACTCCTAAACCAAAAAAAGGGATGTTTTTAATTTGATGCGTGTCTGTGTCTGTCTATAGCACAATAGTTTTTTTTTATTAAAGGTTTAATTGAGTTGGTTCGTAACATTATTCTAAAATATTATCCTACTAAAATAATATAAACGCGACAGTTTGCGAGGATGCATGATGATAGTGAGGATGAAAACGCTAGTATTAGATAATTTCTGATCTTCAAAGATCATTAAGTTAAAAAATAAACAGATAGAAAGATTTCTTCCGAAAAAACTTTTTTTTATTGAGAAGACTTAGGAAATAAGGCAAGTGTAAAATATGATTTAAAATATAATTAGTTTAGTTAGACGTGAATAATAAATAGAACACAAATCGATTTAAATAAAACTTAAGTCCAATTTAATTATTTCCATAAGTGGATTTACGAGGATACAACGATAAAATATCGAAAGCTAGCAAATCTACTCGACAACCTAACGGTGTAAAAGCTAACCGTCAAATGCATCACTTGTCAGGGAACGAGGTATATAGGTAGTAGTCGCGATGAAGTGGTTTTTTTTCAAGTATTCTAACATTTTATCTGTTATATATTAATAAATGTACGTAACATACGACCTTTCTAGGTTATTTCCAATTGTATATTGGTTTTATTGGACTAGTCGCTAGTCTATTTGGCTGATCCTGATGCTGGCGGTAGATCCGTAAGTTTTGGGTTCGAGTCCTACATCGAGATATTTAATTATATTAAGAATTTCTCAATAACATCCCAAAATTGGAAACTTAAAGTTGTACTGTTGTAAAACCCTTTTGTTGGCTAGTTTCATGGAGATTGAGTGCACTATATATGCCTTACTTGGGAAGTGATTGATTCCCCATATAAACTTTCATACCCCTTTTCGCCCCCTTATGATTAGGGATGATTTCTGGAATAAAAACTATGTTATGTCCTTTTCAGGCTCTCAAACTATTTTAATACCAAATTTCATCCAAATCGTTTAAGCGAATTTTAAGTTTAACTATTACAAACTCACAAACTTACAAACTTTACCTCAGTAAAATATTAAGTGTATATATGTTAAATTAGGTTTTTTACTCAGAATTTATACTATATTATGGATGAACCCTTGATTCACTGTATGTATGTATTTTGAACACGGTTTCACTCACGAAATAACTTTCACTCAAACCAGATCAGTTATAACAGCGTAAATAAGCGACGAACACTCTCACCTACTTTTCTTTCCTTTTACCTTCTTCTAGTTTTACGAAGATATCGAATAAGACGAAGTATATTTATAGACTAGCGACTCACCTTCGCTCCGCTCGCGTTCGTCCTTAGTTACGTTTCCACGCTTAGTATAGATTTCTCAAAGATGAGATATTTTGCCGCACTAAAAATTATTCTTTATGTTGAACAGGATAACCAGCTATCATCATACCAAATTTCATCGAAATCTGTCCAGTGGTTTTCTCGTGATGCGTTCCCAGACAGACAGACAGACAAAAATTCTAAAAATTATATATTTGGCCTTTGTATCGATAATAATGACTATTTCAATAAGATTTTCCAAAAAATATTTAATCTGTACAAATTTGACATTCAATTTTATTCTTTATATGGATTTTCAATATCCGGTGGAAATATCCGATGAGAAGACAAATGTGTATGATGCACACAAAAGCTTCATATATTGCTTCGCTCAGGACTCGGCATTTTCTATAATTTGATGCAAATGTACAAGAAATATTGTTTAGACATATAAAACACAGTCAAAATAAATTATATTGTTTCAGAACTTAAAAATATTGGATCAAGATCCAGCTGCAAGATTGCTACGGTCATAGCGTATTTAATCAAAATCAATTTTTTATATGTACCTACAATAATAAAAGGGACACATATGTTTAATTAAATTAATAATAATTGACTTTTTTGAAACAAAATCGATGCACTTGCTATTAAAATGAATTCACTTCAGAGAAATATATGTAGAGATCTTGAAAAGTGATTGCTGCCGTTGCGCACTTGGCCGCAACCTCTTCGCAGCCAGGCGTAAGCAGGACATATTTTGTTATATTTATACATTCATGGCGTATATTCATCATTTATATATGCAATTAATGCTATTTTTTTCTGTGCATGATAAATAAATAAATAAACAAACAAACAAACAAATAAATAAATAAATAACACACTTTATTACATCTTCATCGATTTTTAATACACTAGTTATAATTAATTGTGAATGAAAGTGCTCCCAGAAAGAAGAAAGTATTCCTGCTTAAAGAAAGTATTCAGCCCTCAGGACAGACAGCTATCAAACTTTAGTCAAGTGTTAATGTCATTTGAATTGCAGTCATATTTGAAGTCCCGTTCTATTTATTAAATAAATCACATGGCTAGCAATTCATCTATCTACATATATACTCGTATATAAGGCTTTGTACTGACTGACGGATAAACGCACAGTCCAAATTGCTGGCCGTAGAAATGTAGACATCCAGTAAAAAAAAGTTTCTCGAATACGAAACACATGAGCAAAACCGCAGGCACTAAGTAGTTTTTATTTAAATATTATTTTATACAAGTAAATTCTTAATCTTTTTCACTTTGTAAAGTGCTCCAAAAAGCTTCTTTATCACGCGGAAAATAGTATAGCGGAGGATTTTTATCTTCAAGAGAAAATTAAACAAAATGAATTTAATGTTATCTAGACGATGTTAAACTTTCAAAGGAAGCTACAACTATGAGCCTTGTAACTTGTAACTTATCGCAAAACTCCACTTGTGTGGAGTTCAGAATACTAAAATATTGTAATAAAATGTAAAAAAAACATCAAAGTTTTCCTTATTTTTTTCTCAGATTTACTGGTTTCTTTAAAGAATAAATAAGCAAAATAACTAAAATAAAGTTAAAAAAACTTATTATAATACTAAAGAACAAAATAACTTATTTAAAAGCGGGACTAAATAAATTCAATTTAATTAATAATATTATTCCCAGCGTTTCTAATTTAGTAACCTTTATAATAAAGCCTATGTTTTATTCTGATATAATAAACTTTATCACTGAAAAGTTTCATCAAAATCCATTCAGTAGTTTTGGTGTAAAAGAGTAACAAACATACACCCATACATCCTAAGGCAAAACCCATGTAGTAAAATACTTAAATTATATAATAATATTTATTTAATACATAAAATATCTTATCCTGCAATTCTAATGTTGAAAGCTACAAAATTGCATCAAAAGACTATTATATGATGATTGATGATAGAACTAGCAGTTTCTGAGCGAATGTAGGTAGGTACTATAAAGTATTGTAATACTATCTGAAAACGTATTTTTATTATAGTTCTGCCTCGGTAGTCTAGTAGCTAGCATGTACGACTACAGATCTGGAGGTCCTGGGTTCGAGTCCTGGTTCGGGCCAAGCATTATTTGACAGAGTTTTTATGTTAAGATATTTTCAATAACAGCCTGGAGTTAGGAAGTTGGCGGTGTTACACCATCGTGCCTCGGACAGCACGTAAAGCCGTCGGTCCTGCGCCTTAACTCTCACCGGTCGTGTTGAAGTATTGTCCTATCGGGCTTTGAGAGTAAAAAGAACAAAGAGTGCACTTATGTCTGCGCGTACACCCGCTGCACTATAATATATCCTGCGCATCTGGCTAGTGAGATTGTTCGCTGTGGCCGAAATCGGTCAGGTTAACGTTATTACTTCAAACTATAAAGAAACATGAAATCAATTCAACAGATTCGTGACTTATGAAATTTATATTATATTTTCTATTAGTTGTGGTGGCATTATATATTAGAATTTCGGGATAGAGTGTAAAGTATTAGTGAAGATTACATCATGTTATCTACAATAATAAAAAAATTCATTCACAATATTTTATAAGTGCTTATGTGTATCTAGTGATTTTTAGGTCTTTATTTAGTTTTCACATTTTAATTCTAAGTCTATGTTCTAAATATCCTCAATATTTTCACTTTTTATTATAGTTTTGAATCAATGTTCCTGAGATTGACTTAACAGTGTATAATAACTGTAAGCTCCTTTCAAAATCTGAAAAAAATCAAGTAATTTAGTTGTTTTAAATCTAAAAGCAGTTAATTTCTCACGATATTTACTTACGTTTATAAAAGACGTGACAGTGATGCTAGTAAATGGACCTGCACTGAATATTAATATTTTATTTAGCTGTTCTGCTAAAATATTTATATCTCTCTGTTCAGATAAAGTGCGAGTCCACCAGATACTCTCGTATGGTCCCAGAGTAAGGTCTTTACTCTAAAAAAAATAGGCATTAGTGACTTTAAAAGAGCTTGCTAATTATAGGAGAAAAATTATTTAAAATTCGACTCGATAGTTTTTATGCTAGGAACAAGTTCCACAGTTTTCGAATGACACCATTGCGTTAGTCGAGTAAGTGCGAATTTAACTATACTCTGTTAGATATTATTAATATCTTTAGATTTTAAAAATATTTTAATGGACTGTTAGTATTCTTCAATATGGGTCACATTATTAACTATACTTAAAACCATGCTCACATCACGTTTTACAGTAATCCTTTTAGAATTTGAGTATAATTTGATCATATTTTGTTATTAGTCAAATGTTTGATTTATAAATTGTATACATATCCAGTATGTACTCGTATAACAATAATTAATTAAATAATGTATTTAACAATCATCATCTCTGATTAGTTGTTACTAAACACTAATTAATGCTTAGATTAATATAACGGAATTTGGTGAAATTGGCTTTTACTGTAAAAACAGAAAGTGATGTCCTTTTTTGTCACTAGATGGCACGGTTTCATTCCGCGTAAACAATAGAAAAATACGTTCAGACGATCGAACTGTTAAGAAAACTCGTATTAATAGACTTATCTAGATGGTATTGATTAAAAATATACTTACAACATAAAAAACGTCATTGCTATACCAGCAATACATAAAGAGCTGTGCTACAGCGAATATAAGAAATTCTGCTGTTATGACTTTCTGCATGGTGCTAGTCTCTATCTGCAAGTGTCGTACTCGTATGTTAATGTAATTACACAAATATATAATTAACATGTAAGTTAACTTTACGATATATATTTTATTATGTTATATATAATGATATTATAAATAATAATTTTCTTTCTAAACATATAACAAAATTTCTGTGTGTATACTTTAAAGATTTTTACAAAAAAATACAGAAGAAAGAGAACTAATAAAACGTTACAACTTATTTCGAAATGATTAGCTGTTTGTTTATTTATTTGTATTCAGCCCTTCTTAACGTCCCAGCTGAGCACGGGCCTCCCTTCAATATGAGGTGATCAGGCTGGCCAAGTGCGGGTTGGCAAACTTCACATGTCTTTCGAAAACTTGCTAGGTTCTCTCAGACATGCAGGTTTCCTCACGATGTTTTCCTTCATCGTAAGGCAAGTGGTAATCATGTTGAAAATGATTCGCACATGAAAATATCAGAGGTACGAGACCCGGGGTTTATTTATTTCGTTTATGTTATTATAATATCTTGAAATTTTTATCTTTTGATATAATTATATTTTCTGATATCAAAAAATAAAGATTTTTTTTGGTAGATGGGATAAAACTTATAAACTTGGAGACTTTAAAAACACTATACCTATTTGATTTTTGTTTAATACTTTATTACTAGCGACTCACTCTCGCTTCGCTCGGGTTCGTTTGTAGGTACATTTTAATTTTTTTCAGCGGAACCCTAATTCTTTTACTGAAATAAAAGTAGCCTGATTTACTCCTTATAATATCAACTACCTGCCAGTGAAAATCCCGTCAAAATCGGCCCAGCCGTTTCGGAGATTAACCAGAACAAACAGACAGACAGACAATTTAAAAAAAAACTGTTTTTCTTATAAATACCGTATATATAGTTTCGTATGCATTTAGTAAAAAGCTGTTATTTTGATATTACAAACAAACACTTCAATTTTATTTATCTGTATAGTTTATTATGACGAAGGAAGATGACAAAACTTTTATCAAAACTACTGCTGCTTTTAAGTAATATTCTTTTTAAAATACTAAAAAGATCTTTATTATTTTTTAATGACTTATTATCTTCTTTTTCTATCTTTATTATCTGCTTCTTACTTTTTCTTTATAATTTTCGCTGATCAGTTATACGGATAACGTTATTTTATTTCTTTATTTAATACTTACTGTAAATTGATACGCAGTAGCACACAACATAGATGAGCACATGACCACGTAGAGCAACATTACTGGTGACAGGCATGAGTCGAATAACCGTACGCACCTGTCAAAATAGATCAGCAATTAGCATACATATCCATACTAATGTCATAAAATGCAGCAATTTTGTGTTACAATAATTATTTTATGTTTTTAAAGTTTAAACTTATTTAATACATAATTATCATGTTTACTCTAGCTGTGATATACTTGTATTTATAGGTTGAAATTGTGCTGCTGTGTGAATTTATTATTAAGTAACTATTTATAAGAATTATTTCACTGTTTGTCTTAAAAAAATAAAATAAATGTGAAACTGTCCCTGTCTGTTACTTTTTCATGCTTAAACATCTGAACAGATTTCGATAAAATTTGACAATGATATATATTACTAGCATTGCCAGCAGCTACGCCCGCGTTCAGATGACCAAAAACCAAATTCTTAGATTTTACAGTTTTTGTATTTTTTCTCACCATACCAAATTTCATCAATGTCCTCCCAGTGGTTTTCCCGTGATGCCGTAACAGACAGACAGACATACACAAAAATTCTAAAAACTATAGATTCGACCTCTGTATCGATATTAGAGTCTATTTCAATAAGATTTTCCAAAAAATCTTTAATGTACAGATTCGGCTTAGTTACAATTTTAATATATGTATAGAAAATGCAGCAATTTTGTGTTACAATTTTTATTTTATATTTTTAAATATAAAAAATAATAATATTGGCACCTTGTTCTCTGCAAGGCATATAATGTGAAGTTGTATATACATACGTTAACAAGTCGTTATGACGCTTATGACACTTTTCCAATCGAGCTCGAGATTCGTCTTGACTTATAGGATTTTCTTCAGTCCCAAACAATATCTGACAATCCTTCCTTAATAATTCTAATTCAGTTCGAATAAAAATCATTAAAGTTACTACATTGGTATCATACGATGTAATCCATCCACCAGAATAAATTAGGGTTAAACTCTGCACAATTAGTAGAAAAGAATAGCCTATGTTATTTTCTTTATTGAATGGAACCCAAGAGCTCACTATTTCTATACGTTTCTCTGTGCCGTTCCGTAGGTTCTCTCTATAAATAGGTGACAGACAATATTGAGCGATTGGCTGTAAAATAATTAGAATTATGGTACCATAAGTCAAATAAAAGTACATATATGTCATTATTTTGTTTAACAATGAAAATCGATTATAAACGTTCTTAAAAAAAATATCCTGCGTTTGACGCCTCTCAAAATCTACTTCCATTACAAACTGATGAACTGTTTTCCACTTTTTCTGCCATAATAAGAATGTTATTACTTTAGAGACATTCACTGTAGCAAATATAGTATATTTTATATTTCGCAATATGGCTAAGATATCAGATCTACTCATGTACATATCTATATATTCCGTGACGATAAACAAAAAAACCATTGATTGAATAGTAATATATATATTCTTCAACATTGTCCTATGTTCTGGCAGTAATAAACCACACATTTTAAGCAGTTTTATATTTCTCCCTATAAAGGGCTGATTTGGATCTTCTAAAATATTAAAAAGCTTATTCGTTACAGCATTCATTTTTTGCAGCTACGTGTATATACGTATATTTTACGCTATTATTACTAGCAATATGTAGTAATGTGTAAAATTTTTGCTCACTACAATTTTATATATTACCTCATAGTGATGTGAAACGTAATTATAATTATGTTTTTTATTAAAAACCTACAATAAAGTTACTCGCTCAACACAGCGAAAGAATACTTAATAAATATTCGATATTTTGGATTTAAATGCATAAATAATCAAAACTTACTTTTCGGTAATTAATATCTCAGCAAGAGTTAAAATAAGAGATGTCGGAAGCCGAACGCTGATATCCTATACTAAACGTGCCAGCATCCTCCTCCAAGACGACCCGAAAGCACAGAGAGATGAAGAAGGCAATGAAACCTGGCATCCTACACTAAAAATGCCAGCATCCTACACAAAGGAGACCTGAGAGCGCATCACCAACTTGCAGCTAGACAGCTCTTAAAGCTCCAAACAGTAGCTATGAGGGCTCCTCTAGCCTGACTCCTATAATTTCATAGATTCTCAAAAAATGCAAGATTATAGCCCAAAAAAATTAAAAAAATAAATAAATCACTAAAAATAAAAACTGATGCCTAATGTTCTTTAAATATATTTTTATATATCTTGATTTCACTTGGTCATTCCTGTTTCGTAGTATTTGTAAAAATTTCATGAAATCTTTCTAAACGTTTTAATTTATTGCTAATTTTCAACTCTGTTACGCCAAGCCCATGTTGTAACTGAGTTACATGTAAAAGGAGACTTTTACATATGATCTAATTAACTGTATAATTATTTACATACTTTCAAGCGTTATTTTTATACTTTTAAGTTAAAAATATTATATTTGTTTAAAACAAAAATGTCTCATCACTGCGAATTTTTACAGATAATAATTGACCACAGTATAAGATATAATTTGTATAATAGCAGCAATTGACTGGCGATAGCTTTGATGCATTTTAATAATTACACATCTAATAATAACAGTCTATGGTGTAACATTTACTCCATAAATGATTATATTATTTGCCCTGCTTTAATTCAAAAAGCTTTAAGTTTCACATGTTGTATTCGGTTATTGACTTTATTTATAACTAGCGACTCACTCTCGCTTCGCTCGGGTTCATCCGTAGCTTGCTTTCCCGTACAAACTTTCATCCCATATTCACCCCCTTAAGGGATGATTTCCGGGATAAAAAGTATTCCATGTCGTTTCCAGGGTCTCAAACTATCCCCCCAACGTGTGTTCACCTTGTCGTGGTGGGGGGGCTCAGTAATGCCCGGCAACCCAACCGGGCACGAAGCCAAGAAACGCACAGGGAGGCCCACTTCGGTGGGCGGTGGGAGGTGGCCCTCTTCGGTGGGCGGTGTACCATGTGGGTTGCTCCTGGTACTTCTCTGATAGCAGAGTGGACCTTGGAGCAACCCCATGGTTGTGGTGGTCTGCTTCGGCAGACCTGCCGTCGGGGCGTCGTAGTTGAATGCGTAAGCGATCCTGCGACGCCCCATTAAGACGGGGGAAGGTTTTGTTGGGTTTTATTGGGTAGTACTGGCTTTATTACGCCGGTGAGTCCCACACCTCGTGCGTAAATGCATTTCCTAACGTTTAAAAAAAAAAGAAGGGTCTCAAACTATGTTCTTACCAAATTTCATCTAAATCGGCTCTGTAGATCCAAAGATTACCCCCGACAACGTCACATCATAAACTTACAGTTCACAAACTCACAAACTTACCTGTATATATTTATTTATTTTTTTATTTGTAAAAAACAACACTTATCACATACACATGAAACCTTTTTAATTTAATTAATGTAATAATAATATACCTTATATGTATGTCAATTATAAGTGTACATAGCATTTAAATGTTCATGAATTAAAAGTACAAAAATTTAAAATAATAATAATTATAGATAAATTTCATAATACAAAAGAAATTGATAGTAATACATCGTATTAAGAAGTAAAACTAAAATCATCATTATAAACAAAAAAAAAATTACAATAATTAACATTAACAATCATGCATTTTATAATAATTAAATAACTTATTTCCAAAAATTGATGGAGAGTCATAAAAAATGTCAATGCCAGGAATTGATTTAAGGATATCATTATATTTGTTACACAACCGTACCAAGCGGGCTTGTTTACTGATATTAGATCTGACGCAAGGAGAGTGAAATATCTTGTGAACGTGAGTACTTCTGTGTGTCCTAGAAGGAACTGATATCAGTATTCTCTCGGTTAATTCTGCATTAGTTATATTATTGTTGATAATACTGTGTAGAAAGCTTAGTTCTAAAATCTCGCGCCTACTCCGAAGAGGAATCATATTAAACTTTGCCAAACGTTCTTTGTATAGTTTTCTGTGTGAGAAATCCTTTTCATGAAACGCAAGATATTTCGTAAAAGCATGCCGAATACTCTCTATATACGTTGGGAGTGTACGCTATACAGTGGATTCCAGATAACACTAGCATACTCTAGATCGCTTCGCACTATGGAATTATACAGAATTAATTTAGTTTTTTGTGAAAATCCTAGTGTATTCCTCTTGATAAAACTAAGATTTTGAGCAGCTTTAACAACTATATTAGGGTATTTCTGAGCACCTTAAATTTCTGGAGGTTTATCTCCGCAACTAGCTAATAAAACGGTCTGAAATATTTTTTTTAATGCACCTTAGACTATTATCTAACTTGAACCAATTCCGGTTATATAATATTTCCATTCTAAATATATAAAAAAATCATTTGAAACTCGTTCTTATGATTCATATGACGTGTCCGTTCCCCATTTTTCTGAACAAAATTATGTCTAACGCGTTATTTTATTGAAAAAACAATATAAATTATAATCACATCGAAAGAAGATTAGTTATCTTTTAATAAGAATTTTTTTAGTTATATCTACGTTAGTTTACTTATTATAAATAAATAAATAAAAGATGTCCAGCATAAAATTCTGATTAATATGGCGCGCGCTTCACTCGATCGTACTCGGCGAAATACTACCCGCATCACTACCCGCATGGGGGGTAGTCTGCTGTGTGACGAATGGGCCCGAAGGTAGACGTTCGGCCAGGTCAGCGTCAGGTCAGAGTTTTAAAACTTGAATCTAAGCCCCAAAAAATACGTTTGAGTTATAGATTTTGTGGTTAAATGCGAATACCGATGTAAATATATGTTACGGGTAATCGAAGATTTTAGGTAAAATTCTGATTTATCTGGGTCTGTTTCATGTGGTCAAAAACCCATATGAATCATAAAGTAGTACATTTTGTTATTTATCATACAATCATAATTAAGATCAGGTCCCAAGCATCACGACACTGCGACTGCGACACAGCGAAAGAAAAACGATATATTATATAGTATGAGATGTCACATAGACGGATGCGGTGCAAATAGCCATAGCTATGCTGATGATAAGGTGCTGCTCAGTCCATCAGTTTGCACAAGCTTCTTTCTATTTGTGAAAAATATATTAAAAGTTTAAGAGTTTAGTATACAATAGTAAAAAGTCAGTTACTATGGTATTTATATTTAAAAATGGATCTGGCTATGTACCTGACATTGTTCTAAATAATGTTAAGCTTGATCGTGTTATAAAATTTAAATACCTTGGACATACCGTGTAAATGAAATGTTAACAGATGAGGACGACATAGAGAGGGAAAGTAGAGCATTGCCGATGCGTGGAAACATTTGGCCCGTAGATTTGCTGCGTGTACAGACCAGATAAAAATTACACTCTTTAAGGCACGTGTCACGTACACGTTTTCAATGTTTCTTCTGTTCTTTTTAAATGTTTAGACTGCCTAGATATTGTTGTACGTCGTGGATGTTCTACGAGACACACACTGATGATTTTGTTGCTGTCATAAGTAAGAGGATCACATGTCTGAGACACAGGATAAATGACAGCACAAATTCTATCATGAAAGCTGTAGAAGATTTTGGGCAAAATTTCTCCAGACATAGATTAAAGGATTTTTCATATTATGTTTTATTTTAAATATTTAATTTTATTTATTGTTCTTAATGTAGGAAACCTTTGTATTTATTTTATTTAGTTTATAATATAATTTTAGTTTGATTTACCTACTTTTCAAATTGTATGGAAAAGTTCCGAAATAAAGATTTATTATTTACTCGTGATTTATTAAAGATTATAAAATTAATAAATAATAAAAAAGTTATAATTAATAAAAAAGAGTAATATTATATTATACAGACTTGTTTTTTTGTTTTTATTCCTGTTTCTGATTGTCTGATACGAATTTTGATTCATATGGGCCCTAAAAAATTCAAGTTAAATATCTCAAA